TTTGGGTTTTAAAGCATGCATCCTTGCTGCGATTTCCTTGCTGGAAAGAAAACACCCAAGGTGTTTTAAGAAGTTGTGCTGCACACTAGAATATTGGTGGGTAATCCGGGAGTTGGGACTGGTGTCTGTACCAACCCGGACTTCGATAGTCTCAAAGCCAAATTTTGGAAAGCAGTCTCTTTTCTAATTACTTTACTCCATGAGGCATGAGAAACAAACCATGTTGACATCACAGAGGTACCTGCTGCCATTTCAGGATTCCTGTTTTAGGATGCATTTGGATAGTTATTTATTGTCTATGATTCAGAAAACCAGACTACTATGAGTGTTCCAGAATCTGAACTTTTCCTTGGAGCTGTAAATTAAGGGGTGAGAAGGTGATAAAATTCCTTAGAGAACTGTGGGGAGAAAAAAGAGGTGCACTGCAATGGTTAACTGAAATTTTATAAGCACATTCAGTGTGGAGCTGTTTTGCATTACATGAGTTGAATACCTTAGAGACGCCACATCTGCAGGCACTTTATTAAATCCTTAGTCAGCACTTTCCAACCTGATGCGATTACTTCTTCATTTGACTGGAGAAAAGGAAAGCTGAGCTCTTGTCCTGGACTGCAGATTTCTTTTGATGTTTCACCTTGAAAACTGAAAGAGGACAGTTATCTCTACTGCTCTCCTTGCTCCTCTCCCCATCACGTCTGACTAATCTGAGCATCACTGACTAATGTTTCACAACCAGAGCCTTTGTGGGAGTGTTGGATTTATGGATCTTCACAACAACCATAGCAGAATATTCCCAAGGGGGAAAAATAGATCAAAGCATCGTGTTTACTTCCTTAATGTAAATGTATCCAGAAAACAGCAGCCAGTAGGATAGCTATTGTATTGGAATATTACGACTCATTGCAGATGGGAGAAAGGAATTTCTTTATGGTCCTTCAGAACACAGTACGACTGAAGGGGCCGGAGAAACCATGTGAAAACTACCTTATGTCAGTGAATGTCTGATGATTTGTTGAGTGCCCATAAACAAATCGTTGTGCTATTCAGCCCTAGCATTCTCACCGTTTCTGATAACTGCTGTGTCTTTTTCTGTATGGCTAGAAAATACACAATCATTCTTTCATTAATGTTTGACATTCATACTACTTGAATAATAAAAATTCTTAAAAAATCATCACAAGGAAAATAGGTCTTTCCCAATGTCACCTTGTGCAGTGGATGTTCTGAGCAGTTCATGAAACTTGAGAGAAACTCGTGTGGCTTACACCATGCAGTTGCCACACCATGTGACAAGAGGATATGCACCTCCAGCTGCAAACTGGTGGTGAGAAAATGCAAAGAAATGGCTGAATTTTTTTAAATTATTATTGGAACTATTTATCTGCCTTCTCTGCAAATAAATGATCTAATCAAGGATATCACATCCCTACCCCCTGCCCTCAAAATCCCCATGTGGTTCCCCTAACTGACTTCCCATACTGGGAACCCTTGGTCAAATAGCTGGGTTAATTGTCATGAAGATTAGTGTGATGTTGAAATAAGGACTAATGGTCAAATTACAGGAGTAAAAAAGTTGAAGAATAGTCTCTGGCTTGGGCCTGAAAGGGTTAATTAAGGTTTTTCATGGGTTATAAAAGACCCCCAACCCCTGCCTTCAGGAGTCATAATGACACCCCACCACAGGGCATCTTAGCTTCTCTATTGACGTGTTGCTGGTCCCAGCACAATAGACGTCTGTGTCTACAAATCATTGCTAAAATCATCTCAAGGAAAAAAAAAGTTCGAAAGCTTTAGCGTTAGACAAAAGCCCCAGAGTTGCAGTGCACAGCTCAAAAACCCGGAGTCAGCAACTTCTATTGATTAAAAACTAACCTTTAAAGTAACTCCGAGAGTGTGTGGTTAGCATTTAAATTTAAACATGTCATGAGTTGATTTGTGTTACTGAATACCAACTCAGAAGGAGTAACATTCACATCGCGTTTTTTTTTTCTAATTCCCTTAAGCAGCTAAAGTATTTCATGAAATGTCAATAGGGCAAAAAGAAAAAGGGGAGAGGGGGTGCTGATGCTGGGCCTTGTCGTTTTCTTTCCCATGCAAATATTCACTGCCCCCCCCCCAAAAGAAAAGTGTGGAGAGTGAAACACAATAATTAGTCCTTTGTCTAACTTTCCCAAGTGCCAGAGAAAGACAGATTAATTAAATATACAACAGTGTTGGTTTTTGGAGTGGGGGTCTCACTTGCTGTGTAGGTCATAAATTAGGCAGAATAAATACTTCAATGTGTTTGCAGTGGGTCTGCTACGTCAGAACCACTGGAAGGTTGGTGGGAGGAGAGCAGAGGGTTTCTTGCTAATGATAGTCACGTCTGGGTCTGTCTGGTTGCTAAGAGCAACCAGACATGATGTAACACCAGGATGAACTTGAACTTGGGGGACTTGAAAAGAGAACAATAGACCAGAGCAATCAATAAAGCCTATTTCAGTGAAGGATTACAGAGCTGCTCTGGGGTAACCTTGTCGGCAAAGCACATACTGAATAGTAAGATGTGTGAAGAAACTTTTTTTTTTCCCTGCTTTGCTTTTTAAGAGAAGTGCAGAGGCACTGCAGATTTTTGTAGTGCCCTGAGGTCTCGTCCAGAAACTGTGCTATGGAAAACTGCTCCCCCTGCTGACTCACTAGGTCCCAAGCCTCTGCTGCACGAGGCACAGGACTGTCACATGGAACAACTTTGGAATTTCACAACTATCTCCGTGCAAAAACAGAATCCACCAGCCTCCCCATCCATACCCAGAGGGTGATCGGTTTTGTGGGAGAACACGGCTATACCATAGCTCAGGGTCACCTGTCTGAAGAACCTCACGCAAAACACCTGCTGACTTCATCTTCCCTCCTTCCTTTACCCCTTCTTTCTTTTGCCTGGCTAGATGTAGGCCGCGTGTATTTGCCAAGATGTTTTCCTTTCAGGACACAAGAGACTTTATTGTCTTCCTCAAAGCATGTGAGCAAAGAGTAACACCGAAAAGTATACAGGAAGAGTAGTTTTTCAGTTTAAGCTAGGGTTTTTAAGCTCCTCTGGAAATCAAAGGTAGCTTGTGTGACCAGGAAATCTTACACCGACCTCCATGTAGTTATCGTTTAGCCATTTATCCCCGGGATCTGAGGAGTCCTTCCATTACCCAGCAGACTCTCGTGGGCAAGGATGAGCCTTCCCCTAGGTGAATCTGCCCCAGTGGAGCCTTGTCTGAGTAGGTCAACTCCAAGAATTCCTAGTATTAACTTTTGCAAGCAGGTGACAATTTTTGTGTGTCTAAGGCAAGATGTGGTGAATTTGTCAGAGTGTTAGGAGACAAAAGTTGGCAAAAGCCATACACGTTTTTAATCTCACTTGTAAACCAAGATTGATATTTGCTCATAATTGGCCACCTACGGTAGACAAGGAAGAAAACAATACCAGCAGATAAAATGATCTAGGAACTGAGCTGTTGCTCACAGCACCTATACATTTACGAAAGGAAAACTAACTGGTAATTGGACTCTCCAGGCACCCAAAAGGCTCAGGATAAATGCTGAGTCGATAGAACCGTGAATGAGGACTGTGCATTGGCCTCATTTCCCCCTTGGTTGTCATGATGCTTAACAGGGTAAAATCTTGATACTCTTTACTTAGTATATGTATTAATCTAAGATATCACTATATGAAAGGCAGAGTTGCAGTGAAAAACAGAATCTTCCATCTGCTGGTTTACACCACAAATGACCACACTAGCCAGGTGGGGCAGGTCCAGAGCCAGGAGACAGGAGCTTCTTCTGGATCTCCTGCATGGGTGCACAGATCCCAAGTACTTGAACCACCAGGGGCATTCCCATGGAGCTGAATCAGAAATGAAGCAGCTGGGACTTGACTATGACTTTGGATCACTGCCCATTTGGAACGCCAGCACTGCAGGCAGCAGCTTTGCTTGCTACACCACAATGCCGGCCCCTATTGTATGTCAGCTTATAAAAACATTTGCTTTAAACGCAGGCATCTGACTTAGTGATTAATCATTGTTTAGGATGCCCATTTTTCACATCAGAGTGCCTGTGTTCCATACGCAGCTCTAGCTCCTTTGTGTAGTTTCCTCCAGTGGATCTTGGCATGCAGTAGGTACTGGTTCAGGTAGCTGGGCTCTTGCCCCAGTGTGAGAATCCAGGATTGAATTCTTAGCTCCTAGCATTAACACTGGCACCCCCAGTCACTGTAGGAATCTGGAAAGTGACCAAGTACATGGGAGTTTCTCTCTTTCTCTCTTCCACCCACTTCCCTTCCTCTCAAATTTCGGAAAAGAAAATTCTTAGAAATGTTGACCTGCATGGACCATCACAGACTCTACCTAACACATAAACAGAAATGAAGACCAAGAGGAATGCTCTGAGCTGCCCCAAGGCACCCATTTTACCTGGCACAGCATTTTTTCCTTTTTTGACTGCACTGCTTAAGATGTGACTGTTAGCTGTCTGCCTGCTAAAGCGGTGTCACCATGATGCCTCCAATCGCCTTCCCTCATTTCAGAGATGCCGTGAAGATCATCAGAACAGTTATTCATCCCCACAGCAAGCCCCTCCCTTTACCCACTCTTCATCCATTCAGCTCTTTGCTCTAATTCAGGCACTAGGCTGGGTGCTAAGGATTGAATTCTAACCAGGAGGATTGAATGCCTTATCTTCCTGTAAGAACTCTCCCTCAGACTGCAAACTCTGAATTTGTGTTTCAAGTGGGCAGAAATACCTCTCTTGGTAAGACATGCTCAGCATGTTAGCAAGCCCTGGTGAAGACAATGAATTTTAATTTCAAAGGAATCAGAAGGATTTCAGTGTCTCAAGATTTACTGTGACTTGTCGTTCCTTTACTTTCCCAGTGAAATCATCCTTCCTGGATTTCTCGTTTGGAAAGGCAAACTTCTGTAATGTACCACTTTACCAATTAAACTTCTAAATATGCTTTTCTTTTTATCTTCTAGTCCTGGTACCTGGGATAAAAGTTGCAGCGTCCCACCATCCATCAGACAGACCACCTGACCCCTTCTCAACTCTGTAACATGGACGCAACCTCAACCCAGCGCGGTTACAACTTCACTGTCAGTGGAAGGGGAGGAAACCCAGTTCAAATCAACTTGTACATGGAAACAGCGAGCATTATGGTCAAACAGCAAAGGCCATAACCTTTTGGGATTTTTTTTAAGGAAAAAAAAAAATACTTTAGGGACTGTTGTAATTTCTCATATGGTGCTGGAAATGGTTGGGCTTTGTAACATTTGAAGTGTTTTCCGTGGTAGCGTGAGCAGTAGACAACGTGGCCAGGGGAGGACTAAGCTTGCTCACTGACTTCCTGTTGTAACATACTTTCCTTACAGAGCCTGGCTGTTTCACAGTATTTCATGAAGTTACCCATGCAGGTGTGGTCCTCCCAGAGCATTCGGGAGACACAGGGACAACTAAACCTTTCGTAGTAGCCGAGATCTGCAATATATAACTTACAGGACAGTCAAAGGGCAATGTTTTTTTCTGTAACATAATGGAAGAAGAAAATGCAGTTATATTCCTTTTGTATCTTTTCCTTTAGTTCAGTTTGGTTCAGCAGTCAGCAGTTTAGTACGTAACATGGCCCACAAGGACAATGAATCCTCTCACGTTGCAGAACAATTCTGAAAACGGCAAACAACTACTACTACTACTACTACTACTACTATTCAGTTTTTTAAAAGTTTTGAAATGCTGCACTTACATTAGAAAAAAAAACATTTTTTCAACAATTTCAACAATGACACAAAAATTCACATGGAAATGGGGAAGATGGTCTGTTTTGACAGAAACTGACAGGAATCAATCAAAACAATCGAATTTTGAATTGAGTAAAGTGCAATTTCATTGGATAGCTAAATATCTTTGTAAGATAGAGATTGTTGAAAATTCTATTTTTGTTTTTCCAAGTCCTTCCACCCCAGGACTCTAAATTATTGGGGTAAAAAACAGCCTTGCAAGAAAAAGGGGAGCTATTTTTGCTTTTTATGTTTTTTATTGTTAAACTTGTATCCCTTTAAAAACTGAAGGAAAATTTAAAAAAAAAAAAACAAAAAAAACAAATCTAATGGTGCTTTTACCACAACATGTTAACTACATTAAATGCTAATTAATTATTTTCTGTTATCAAAGCACATAACTAAAGTGAAATCATGGTATCTGTTAATTTTATAAGCTAGAAGTCACTATACTGAATTATGCCAATTCTGAACATTTTCACATGCATCCAGCAACATAGGACTCATCAGTTAGCAGACACCTCACTGTACCAGAGATTGTCCAGGAGTTTTAAAGACCTTTGTGTCCCTGAACTGGGCTTAGGGGAAAAAAAAAATAATAATAATAATAATTGTGAAGCCAATGCTGACTCAAACACTGACACCCATTCAGATCAAGCGTACTTGTTAGGGAAAAACAAAACCAACAAAAAAAAAAAGTTTGCACCCCAAAATGTCCTGTATCTTATGTAAAAAAAAAAACAAAAACAAAACAAAAAATGAAAAAACAAAAACAAACAAAAAAAAGTGCAAGTGATTTTTCTACCAGACAGCGAAGCGCCCCTTTGCTTCCCGTGCGACTTCAAGAAGGTTTCCTATAATATACATATATATACGTTCTGGTTGGCAAGCCCCGCTGATCAGAGAAAGTCTCTGCATGTTCTAGTGGTAGTAACTAATTTTTATCTAGTTAATGTAGGATAAAGTAGAGTGCATTAAGACACACTATTGTAATCCCTCCTCTAGGCACTTGCCTTTAAACGACGTTTCTCAGCCCTTCAGAAGGGCTCTACTACTGTCCTATACAATCAAGTAACTGAAATTCTGGGGAAGACACTTTGCCCTTCATCTTTCCCCCCTGAAACAATGTTGTTTTGTTTTGTTTTTTTTCCTTAATTTGCACGAAACAAAAATTCCATATCAATGTGCCTTGCCCTGGATAGCGATTATTTGTGGAATTGTTGCACATGCTCCTGTATTGAAAGGGGTTTTTTTCCCTCATCAAGCATTTGGAGACACTTTTTGTAAATGTGACTTTTCTGTCAGCCATCGTCAGTTTCAACATCTAGAACTCACTAGAAAGTTAGCTGTCCCGCAGATAGCAGTAGTCGTTATTGTCCTGTATGGTCAGTGGCAGTGCTATTCTGAGATCTGTAGATGCTTAGAATATCAGTATTTTGGATGTTGCTGCATTTTACAATTTATTTGGAGTCTTCCTTTATTTTTACTTCCCCCCTCCCCCAGATATATGAAAATATGCAATACCTGCTTATATCATGTAGAGAAGCTTAGCAATTATTAATTTTTCTTTTTTTTTTTTATTTGACCAAAGTCGGTGCTGCACTTGGCACAGTGTGTTTTAGGTGTTTGTCTTTGTACTTTTTTGTGATTTTTGAGTGCACGTGCGCAGGAAGGGCTCCTCTTAGAGAAGCAGTCAAACTGTGAAGCACTAAGCTGACCCTGCTTCAAGCAATTTTGTTTTTACAACTGTTCCTTTCACAAGCAAGCCTTAAGAAAAGACAACTTCCTTTTTCTTCAGCTCCCACACCCCATTTTTCTTAGCAGACTGCAGTCAATCCACATTCAATAAAAAGTATATAATGCCCATTTTTATATGCACGTTTTTAAACTTCCAAGTTCTGAAAATTGTTTACTGGTTATCTCTATTTAAGGAAAAAAAAATAAAATAAAACATTTTGGATGTTCATATGTGTCTGATAAGTGGTTGAATAGTCGTTTGGCGCTGTTGTATGGTGTGATTGTCAGTGTACGGTGTCACTTCCTATAGCCAGCCAGCATACTTTGCCTTCCCCTATAGCACTTAGCTGGGCATTACTTTATGATGACATATGTGCACTAAAAATTAAAAAAAAAGAAAAAAAAAGAAAAAGAAAGAAAAAATAGCAGCTTTCAGTGCTTCACAGTGAAGGGAAAAAAGCCTAGACAAACATTTTGTCAGAACCTTGCGATAAGCCAAGGTATTACCAGTAAATTGGTTGTATATACAATAAAATTGCACCCTTTTTTAAAAAAAACAAACTAAGCAATAGTTTGGGCAGTTTTAGTTGTTTTTAGTGAGCATGTTGTAGTCATGACTGCAAAGAAAGAGAATAAGCTGCCCACTCAGAAGATATGTAATTTGTATTGCTGTATAGTTTTATTGATTACACTGATTTATTCTACCCTATTTTATAATGCAGGACTTTTGTAATGTTGTTTAAATGAGGAAAAATTTCTGTCAAATTAGCCTAGTAAAATTTCTGATTGTTCATTATAAAGGCAGCGTTCATAGAATTGCTTTTCTTTCCTTCCCCTACCCTCTTTGGGAACTGGATTTAAGTTTAAAACTTTCCTGTTTCCTTTATTTTTTGTAAGTATTTAAATACAGTAATTTTTTTTCTCTCAATGGTATAGCATATTCCTATGCTATAGGAGTATAGGTCTACTGAAAAACCATTGGCAATGGACATTACAGGTATGCTGTATTTTTGAAGGTATTTTGTCGTATTAAGTTTGATGAAGCTAAAATTAGGCAACTCTGAACAGATTTGCAGGAAAAAAAAATGTTTTTAAAGGCTTTAAACCATTAGGGAGGCAGTCTAGGGTGATCACGAACAGGAGTTAAGTATTAAATACACTAAGTTAAATTTTTGTTCATGTTTCATTGTCCAGAAAGCAGCAGGAAACTGTAGTTCAGTTGTGATCAAACAAGAAAAGAAACAGCAACAGGACGAGTATCTGGCTTTTTTAGAATAAAAGCCGAGCAAAGATGTTTGAGGAGGACATTGCTCCCAGGGTGTGTAGGCAGACAGACCGGGCGCTATCCACATCTGAAGGCCCAGCCCTTGATTCTGAGACGTTTGGATTTTTGCTCTGCCATCCGGTGACATTCACAGGAGAGGCCAAGGCAAGCCCCTCTAAGGACTCTGTGTGTTTTCTTTGGGAACTGAAGTCTGAGGCACAAATGCTAAATTTTACTCTTATCCCCTCCACCTTTTCTTCTGGCCCTTCTCGGTGCCATGCAAGCGTCCTTTCCCCATCCATCTTAGGCAGAGGCCACTCTCTCCATCCTGGAGCTGCCTTCTGTCTCAGAGGTGTGCCCTGGCCCTTCTGTCACTGTACACTCTGGCACAGAGTTCTTAATGGTCCATGTACCCGGCCCTCATCCCCCCCAGTAGGGGCTGGGCTCGGGGCAGGTGGCTGAGGCTACACTTTTTGAAGCGTGTGCCCTTGCTTTTCCAACAAAGTGAAAAGGGTTTCAAAACTTTCCAGAGTCACCATATACAGTCAGCCCACAGGAATATGCAAAACCCATCTCCAGCTTGTCGCTCTTTCAAACCTTCACCCCCTCACATGCTTAAATTTCATAGTTTCAGTGTCATGAAGCATTTACAAAATCTAAATTAAGGAAACAGTCCACCCATCCCACCCCCACCCCCAGTAATTTTTTTTTGAGTGGGGGGAGGGTGGTTCTAAGAATGTCAGTTAATGTACTTGGCATTGCGTCTCTGGAAATATCTTTTTGTCCACATTGGTGGTAGTCAGTTTCTCTCTCTCTTTCTCTTCTGTCTCTACTTCTTGTTTGCTCCCTTCCTCTTCCTTTCTTTCCTGTGTAGCAGGCCTCCATAGAACAAATCCACAACGCAAAAAGCATGGTAATGTAAGGAGAGCTTCCGTGGCACCTCCCGCCCTCCGAGACCTGGCATGAGACAGCCTCAGAAAGCTGCCCCACCCACTGGCACGGCTGTCATTCACATAGGCTTCCAAGGCCCATTTTGTCTTGAAGTCAATGCATGTATTTACTGTTTGACAGTAAACCCGCTCTGCCTTCTCCATGTCCAAGGCTGTGCATTCGTCTAATTAGCGTCGTGTACGTTTCCCTTTTATTTTTCCAATAAAAAAAGCAGTGGGATGAAAATTGCTTTGATATATAGCAGGTAACATTGAAGCTATTCCATAGCACTTAACTGTAGTGAATACTGTGTCACCCATTCCGAAATCAATTTAATGTTTAATGCAAATCCATTACATGGTGCTATTACAGGCTGACAAAATGATTTACACAAATGTGACAACTCGGGCTCAATTCACTCTGCTTTCCAACAGTGTAAATGCATAGCAGTGTTTATCTGCATGAGAACTATGCACTAATCTATCTGAAGAAACAAACTATATCAACTTTGGTATCTACTTTCCGTTTACTCAATCCTTGCCTTTTTGGTCATTGTTATAATGCCAGCTTTAGGACAGAAAGAATTATAAGAAAACCAGCATAATACCTGATATATTAAAATGTAGTGCCTGTGATATCTGTATTATATTGCTCTTCGGACGTAAGAATTTTCTACACCGGTAGCCTTCGCTGTCTGTCAGCCAGGAACTTCTGGTATAGGTGATGTAAAGTAACCGTCCAATATTAATGCATGCTATTCCATAATGCTTAGTGACTGTATGAATATTACTCAAAGTTATGTTAGTTTTCTTTCTTTTTTTTTCTGACTAGATCTTGTCAGCTAGGTTTAAAGGTATTTCACTGAGAACGCAAATTCTGTCTTTTTGATTTCGCTGTTTTCAGTATTTTGGAGGTATACATTGACTTCAATTCAGTATTACTTGTGTTTTGTTTTTGTTTTCTGTTTTTCTTTTTTTTTTCCCCCTAGGGGACAAGCATGGGTGTTTGATTTCAGAAATCAGTACCTGGTCAAGTTTTTATCTCAAAGCTATGAATTGAATTTCAAGAACTCTGCTCTGAAGACACTTTGGGAACATTTCCAAGTGAGGGACATTTTCCTGGACCCCCAAACAGAAGCTTTGTGGATGCTGAAGCGTTTTCTTAATGGACAATGTTCAGCCAGGTACCCATGCTTGCTCCTTCACACCAGATCTTCTCATGTTAAAAGAAAAGAAAAAAAAAAACTGAGAAATCATGTGGCTATTTAGTTTCATACACAGTTGCAATATTTTCTTCAACAATAAAACTCTGTACAAACTCTGGGCCCAATTCATAAAAAAAAAGAGCTTTGTTATTAACACGGGATTTTTAATAGACTTTTTTTAAGTCAAAATTTAGAAATCTAAGAAATTTCATCTTATTCTCCCTTCTGCATTCCATCCAACCTAGTACCAATCTGCCTTTTAGTCCCCCCGAGAGATTACATGAACCAGATTAAGGGCATGGGGTAGAGGGGGGCAAATCCCAGGAGCCAAGGCTCAGGGACACTCATGCGAGGGCCCGAGATGGGGAAGCGGCACAGCAAGGTAAGACCGTGGCTGTCCCAGCTGTGGCGGCTGCCCCGCCCAGTGTCCTTCATGGACCCCTTGTGTTGCTTGACTCAGAATCCAAACTTCCCAACATGCATCTGGACCACAAGAGTACACAGTGGAAGTGCTACCTCTAACCTACCCAGAGCATCTTTGTGGCGGTGACCGCCCCCTGGGTCATAGAATGTGAACCTTCCTGTCTCTGTGGTGGTCTCCAGGACAAAAACCCTCCAGTGAATTTGGGCCATTTTTCCTGCTGTTTATGCTCAACTTCTCAGAATAACTAAAAGCTTTCATTTTTCTTTTGAGTCCGTTGGGTGTTATTTTTTATATTTTTGATAGTAGTCTGCACATTGGCCTCTTCGTCTTCTCTTACCTTTTAATAGCTTGAGATCCTGAGGCGGCTGGCTGCTTTGAGTGGTGCAGGAGCTGCCAGCCCACTTCCCTCTCCCTGTTCCCAGCCCCTCAGCCCTGCAGTGTGGAGGCATTTGGTAGCCTCACTGCTGAGACCCAACTAGTTGGACCAGGAGCTCCTGCAGGAGACTCTCAAGAGCCACTGTATGATTCCCTAGCCCTCCTTATCCCTGACCTCTTCCCAGAACAGAGCTAACCAGGAGCCTTTCCCCACCACACAGGGAAATCTGTCCACTGGAAACACCTCCAGCTTTTTTTTTTTTTCCCAAATTGTAGGGGGGGAGGGGTTGAATCCATCGAGTGGTTGGAAGAGAGCTGTTGTGAAAACTCAACACCCCCGTGTTAATAACTGACTCGGAAACCTGTTTTTATGAGGCGGGCCCCCTGTGCCTCTAGTATACCTGTATTGATCTCATAGTTACCCTTTTAGTTTTACTGTGTTCTGTGAAAATTTGTAATTGGTTGAGAATCACTGTGGGCGTCCATTCTTATTCAACTAAATCTCCACAGGTTTTTGAGCTGGTGTGGATTAGTTTAACTCTTGTATTCAACCGTTAGTGCTACCACCTTCTCACATTACAATACAATTACTGGAAGCAAGTACTGCATTTCCTATGCAACAAAAAAGGAAAAATAAAAAATTGCTAATGCTACGGGAGTTATGTGGTCATTTGCATTACGTCATGCCTAGAGTGGCTGAGTGACAGTTCTCTGTACAAAGAGGGGGTTCTCTCAGGAGATCGTATTTTCAATGAGGCATAGAGAAAGAGGTGACCAACCTGGATGTCAAACACCCTTGTGTGGGTGTGTTTTGTTTTGTTTTGTTTTGTTTTTCCCTGGTTGAAGGAGCAGCGATGTTTTATACAGCTGCATGGACAGTAGAGGACTGAATAATCAAGTGGTGCTTGACTGGTCTACCTGCTTTTAGTTACTCTACCTCTTGGAACCTACTCAGGAATTAGTATTAGGGCCCATGAGCTCTTATAATAGGAGGCTCCAAAATAACCTGACATTAGCAACTACAGCTCATGGCCATCACCCCTACCGATGGGAAAACCCAAGGGAAAGGCAAGGTCAGCTAAAGCTGGGTCCTCTGGGAAGAACACCAAGCCACTGGATTTTGAATTTTTTTCTGAAGGAATTCTCCTTGAGAGTAGGGACATCACATGGTTTGGGGAGTTGACTGACTGGTGGAGGATGACCCTGGAGGAGGATAAGGCCAGATATGCTAGCTCTACCGAGAGGTCAAGGCTAATACAAGTGAGGGGTTGGGAGGAGCTGAAAACTGTGGGGCAGCTGTTGCTGTGGCTTCAAGGACAGGAAACAAAACTGCAAAGAAATCTCTTCATCCTGGCTGCGCCTCCATGACTCTCAGGCACTCACCAGTGCCTATCATTAGCCCCCTCTCTTAGAGGTAGGCCATCTGGAAATTGTCAGGAGAAAAATACCTGCCCCAACCTCAACCCCACACAGCCAAGTATAGACACATGAGTTTGGACACCAGAGACATAAGTAAATAAGCAACATTTAAACTTCACAACCACGTGGCAAGATATTTACTGCTTATTCCCTGTTACAGATGAGGAAATTGAGAGATTACACAACATCACACAATAATTAACTGGCAAAGTGAATGTCAAATCAAGAGGCCTGACTTGAGACCCCATCTTAAAATCACCATGGTATACTGAACTCAGTTAACTGAATGTTTACTATGTACCAGAAACCATGCCAGAGACAGGGATAGTAAGTAAAAATTGAGCATTCTTATGAGCTGTGTAATCTGCAGAGCAAAAATAAGCGTTGTCGAAATGCATGTGACTCAGATGAGCTGCAAAGGCAAGCACATAGTTGCAATGACTGCTCTAAAGGATTACGTTGCAGAGGAAGCCTGATGAGACATTAGACAAGCAGGCACCATGAAGAAGATTATTATCAGTGGAGAAACTGCATGCACAAAGAGTCTGTGTCAAAAGGAATTTGGCACCTATGAGGGAGTGAAAGTAGGCCTGTTTGGATGACAAGGAGATCAGGAGAGGAAATACAATTCGAGATAAAGTTTGATATTTAAATCAAGACGTTGAAAGGCTTTGCAGATCTAGCTCCTAGAACTTAACTTGTAAGAACTTTATAAAATATGCATCAGTCAGCTTGGACTAGTCATATCCTACCACACATGTACAAGATGGAAAGCTTAGTGGCTTGCAACAATAAAGGTATGCACCCTAGTTTATCTGCTTGTTAAGGTTTTCCTGGGCCTCTGCACGAGATCTCCTTATGCTAGGATCCATGGTGGAGAAAGAAACTCCCACTAGGAATGTTGCTGAAGTGTTGGCAAAGCACATATCAGCTTTTACCCACTCTGTGGAGGCCTCTTGAGTTATATGGGCTATAGCAAGTCACTTGGTCTTGCATGGTTTCATCAGGATCGAGAAGCATCAGGGAAAGCAGAGAACATTAGCAGAGACTTTATGGGGAGAGGACGGAAAGCTATGCAGTGTGGAGCCAGGGCCAAGGGCAAAGGGTCCACAAGGAAGCTACTAGAATAACGGAAACAGAGAATCTGCTGAACTCAGGCTCTGGAGCCCATGACAGAATGGAAGAGACTATAAGAACATAAGTAACTCATGTGCACAGGCTCTCTATTAACTGATAAGGATATTAATTACTGTTGTCTACTGAACTCTATTCATAGTAAAGGCCTATAGATACATTATTTCATTCGTTAGTATTTTTTTATTATATCAATCTTCAAAAAAGTGTACAGTCCTCAAAGCACACTCCTAATTCCAGTAAATACAGCTATTTCCACACCTACACACTTCAAGCTTTTTACATTAGACCAAGTGTATCAATGCCTTGTTTTGGTCTTTATTGTTTGAACTATTAAGAAATCCGAGTTGAAATCAACCAAGATGGTTGGGCACTTGGTGCAGCAATTGAAATGCCACTTGGGATGCCCGTATTCCATGCTGAAGTGCCTGGATTCAAACCCGAGCCCTACTCTATTCCAGTGTTGCCACTGTATACTCCTGGAGAAGGCAGGGGAAGGCTGAAAGAGTTGGTTCCCAGACACCCACATTGAAGACCTGGCCTGAAATACTGGCTCTTAGGCAGTTGTGGAATAAATCGCTAAATGGGGGAGTTCACTCTGTCTACCCATCTCCATCTCAAATAAATAAAACCAGCCATCACCACCCCACACACATACAAGTATACTGCAAAAAGTCTGTGGAAGGCATAATTAATCAAATTTAGTGTGGGCAAGAAAATGTTTTCAGATCCATACATAGTTTTTCTATAAAATAAACTTTGCATGCATTTTTAAAGACCCTCATGCTCTAAGTGACTCATGGGTTACAGAGCTTGCAGCCTAGAACATTTTAAACACCATTTCAATGCCCTGTGTGATGCCAAAATGTAGAGAGAAGACCTCTTTTCTATATACTGACAACATAATCTGGTCATTTCCAAGCCTCTTTTTGTATAACCCATGAAATCTTTCAGTTAATACCTGCCTCTACAAAGCAGAAGAAAGTGGCATTAGAAAAATGAGTCCAGGATTTAAGAGCAGATACACTTGGGCTTAATTCTCAGTTTTTCATTTACTTGATTTTGCAATACCAGGATCTTCAATTACCCCATCTGTAAAATGATAATAATGATAGCACCATGGCCACATTGTGGCACAGCAGATTAAGCCAACACTTAACAACTCTGGCATCCCTTATCAGAGTGACCAGTCAAGTCCCAGCTCCTCGCTTCCAACCTAGCTTCCTGCTGCTGTGCCTGAAAAGACAGTAGATGATAACCCAAATATCATATCCTGCCATTCAAGTGGGAGACCCAGATGTCTCTGGCTCTTAACTTTGAGCCGATTCAGTTCTACTTGTTTCAACCAACTGCAGAGTAAACCAGCAGATGGAAAATTCTCTCTTTCTCTCTCTTTCTTTCTTTCTTTCTTTCTCTCTCTCTTTCTTTCTTTCTTTCTTTCTCTCTACATCTCTACCTCTCTCCTTCCTGTTCTCTTGCTTGGACTTTCAAATAAGTTAATTTAAAAACTCAGATAACACTCTTACAAGATCTTCAAAAGGGTTAAATGAAATTAGGCAGAATACCCAGCACACTATTAACCACATAAAAACTGCTCTCATTTTGTGTGTGTAAGAATAGGAATCCAGAGACCACAGAGGGTAGTACTGCATAGTGGAAAGAAGTTGGGCTTGAAACCAGACTGGGACGTAAATCCCTCTTCTGCCCTTTCTTGGCCATAGGGGATTTAGCAAGTTATTATTCCTCTCTAAATCTGTTTCTTCACCTGTCAAATAACTACAAGAATCTCTTCTTTTTTTGAAGGAGAGGCCCAAATGGCTCAATTAACATTAAGGGGATGTCTTGAGAAGCCCAGTTCTAAGCACCAGGCACTAGACGAGAGGGGGCAGAAGTAAGTCCCACCTTGGCTCTGGTTCCTATTCTCCTAAACCTATTGGCTTAAAAGGCAAGGAGAGTAGGCCTAGCATCATGAGATTAGTCATTTTTTTAATCCTTCAAATTGTGGTTCCTGGCTAAATAGTAAGGTTTCTACTTGCCTTTAGGGAGAACCAGGGCTCCCCTTGACTTCCTACAGAATGAGATGGCTTCTCAAAAGAACACTGGCCTGTGCATTCTACATTTGGTTTCAACCAGGGACATCAATATGGGTTTTAACTTCTGTTGCAGGAAACCCTGCTAAAACAAATGCACATTTATTTCTACTAGCACATTTTTATAGACAAATAGCATATATACACAAAATAGAATTGATGAGTGAACTTACATGTAACCATTGTCCATCACTTGACATTAACTGCTTCTCTCCATAATCCACTTCCTGACACTAGCCTCAGATTGCCTTGAAACAAATATCAGACATCATTTAATGTCATACATAAACAGAAGTCTAAAAGACAAGGAACCATAAAACATACAAAACACCATTTTTAAGGTCTCAAAATATTTTTGATAATTTCTTAGTATCATCAAAACTGTTTTAAACATTTTTTAGTAGTTGGTCCTGGGGCTGGCATCATAGCATATCTGGCTAAATCACCAGTTTGAGTTCCTGTTTAAGTCTTGCCTGCTCTGCTTCTGATCCAGCTTCCTGCTAATATGACCAACAGAAGATGGTCCAAGTGTTTGGGCCCCTGCCACCCACACGGGAGACCTAAACGGCATTCTAGGCTACTGGCTTCAGCCTCGCTCATCCCTAATAATTGTGGGTATATGGAGTGTGAATCAGTGGATAGATGATTCATCTCTCTCTCTCTCTAAATCTACCTTCCAAACAAGTAAATAAATATTTTTTAAAATAGTTGATCCTAATAAGAATCTAAATAAGGTCCATCTACAAAGCGGTTTATATCTGTCTTAAGTCTTGAAATATGTGCAAGTAGGATTATCCTCCATCTCTTTTCCATGCAATGAATTGTTGAAGAACTGTGCTGTTTGTCTTGCGGTTTTTTATTCCCTTCTTCCTCCCCCCACACACAAGATTTTGTATAATGCATCCTGGTGATGTATTCAGTGTATTCTATTATTAAGTTGGAAGCACATTCTCACATGAAAGTTAGTAGCATGGACTGCAGTCCCAAGGCTGTATCACACAAGATTCTTG